CTCGCCGGGCCTCCTCCCACCGGTGCCGGCCACCGCCTCCCGCCGCGGGCCGCTGGCCCGGGACTCTCCTACCTTCGCCTTGCCGGCCTCCAGCTTCTTCTGCCTCTCCTCGTCCTCCATGGCTTCTGCGGAGTGGGCGGGGAAAGTCGGGGAGGGTCGGGTGGGAAGGAGAGAGCGGTTCAGATAGAGGAGGAGGCAGGCTTTGCGGCGCGGGGCGCAGGGCCCGGCCGGCGATCCTCCCCCTCCCGTGGAACCAGTGCGCGCTCACGGGCTAAGCGTCCCGGTGTGCACGGGCCGCGCCGTCACCGCCGCCATCTTCGTCTCCACGTAAACACACGGCGGGGCGGGAGAGGGGACGTCACTTCGCGCAGCCGCTGCCGCAGGCAGGCCTCGACGCGCCTGGCAGGTGCGCTGGAGGCCCCGCCCCCGGGGAACTAAGCCCCGCCCATGGCCCCGCCTCCTCCGGGACTGGGGCCCGCCCCAGCTAGGATCAGGATCCACCCCTGCCCCCAACACAACTCTCTCTCTCTCTCTCTCTCTTTCTCCCCCCCACCTCTTCCTGGCCTGCCTGCCATTCACCTACCGTCTCAGGGATTCAGGGCACCTAAAGCATTTTTTTTTAATCAAATTACAGAAATCTCAGACGCCTAAGGGTGAAAATGGTGAGCGCTGAAAAGACTAAAGGAAAAGATGCTTGGAGGGAGGAGTCCTTTTCAGCCTAGCTTGCCTCCCGGGAAGAGCTGCTGGCTTTACTTCCCTAGCCCGAAAGCCCCTCCCTAAACCCCCATCTCGGCTGCATCCTTCAAGGCCTACCTACGTGCTGCCACCAGATAGATAGCTTTACTGAACTCTTTGTTCCAGTGCACATGCTCCTGCCACCCCTGGAGCTATGGTGTTCTGAAAGAAGCCTGAACTTGAGAATTTACCACGGAGACAAAGCTGGTCTACATTAGCTTTCTAGCTTTAATGAGCATAAAAACAGTTACTCTTCCTCTCTGGTCTTACCTAGGATTTTCGGAAGGATTGTTAATATGTATGATTGACCCTAGCATGTTAAAACATCTGAGTTAATGACAGTTTTATTTCCCCTCGTGTTTCCTTTGTGTCCCCGGATGATTTTTTAATTGTGTGAGTCTTGGTTCAGTTCATACATCAGGACTCTCAGCTCAGGATTCCCAGCTCCTTGATGGCATGCATCATACCTATCTTGACAATGATGTAGTGATGTAGCACACTGTCCTAAATTTGTAGTAGTAAATTTGTTGGATAGATTTGAGCCAGGTTTATAAATTGAACAATGCTATGCTATCTTATCTTTCTAATCCTCATCTGCTCTCTCAGTCCATCCTTTATCATCCACTCTCAAACCCATTCCTGGGCTGAGCTACACATTTTAATGTCTTACTGTTTCTCCTTGGTTTTAAGCTAGGTTGAACTAAAGGACTGGGAGGTGAAAACTAAAATAGGATTTAGAATAGTTGGATTTAGGGGCTGGGAAGGTGGCTCAGTGGTAGAGTGCTTGTCTTGCATGCATGAGGTCCTGGGTTCAATTCCTCAGCACCACATAAGCAAAAAGAAAAAAGCCGGAAGTGACGCTGTGGCTCAAGTGGTAGAGCGCTAGCCTTGAGCTGAAGAGCTGAGGGACAGCGCCCAGGCCCAGAGTTCAGGCCCCACGACCGGACCCACCCCCCCAAAAAAAGTTGGATTTAAAAAGAAATAGGGACAGACTAAAACCTTGACTATAAGCCAAAATCTAATTCCAATAGCCCCCAATTCAGAAATCATACATTTAAGAATTTTTCTTCTCTCAAGCTCACTATTACATGCAAATTGTACCAACTAGAAACACCCAAGTATAAATTGTCCTGTTATCCCAATTTGAACCGGATACTGAGTGAGATTAGACATCTTATCACAGGAATAAAAGAATTGAGATCAAAAAAAGAAGTGATTTACTCACTTATCAAGGTAAACAGAGTTAGGACTAGTTAAGACTGATTGTCTATGAGGAGGAAACCCAGGATACCAGACAGATTATTCCTGTTCATTAGTGAATACTGCTTTCTCAGTTTATGCTGAACATGTTCAAGAACACCTGCTAAAGCAACAAGGGTATTTCAATGTTTCCCATTTCTAACAGCAACCAATCATAGATGTGCCTTGTTACATATAATAGGTGCTTAATAAATGTTGAAAGTTGTGCACTGACTTCTATTAGAAGGGCAAGCTTGTAGAATTAGTGCTCTTGACTCTTCCTTACAATACTTTCATTCAGGTGATTCATTCTTTCAAATTATTAAAAGAAGATAAGGTTGTAGCAAAGATTTGAAAAACATAAAATAGTGAGACACGGAAATGAATAAGGGTATAATAAATTCAAAGGTCCTTAAGCTAGAGGGAGACTGAAGTGCAGGAGGCAAGGTGACTTAAATAGAACTAACAAGAATAGTAAGAGATGAGGTCAAATAATTGATGGGGATTGAATTCTATGGGATTCTGAAGATCAACACAATAACTGGCTTCAGCTGTAAATAAAACATGTTCTAATTCTATGGTTAAATCATATATTAAGAAGCCTTTTCTTCCCCCCTCCAAAATTACTGTGTGCAACTTTTATGCACAGGCTGGCCTTGAACCATGATCCCCCTTTTTAGCTTCCCAAGTAGTTAGGAATACAGGCTTGAGCCACCACACCAAGTTTCAGGTTTATTTTTAAATTAAAAAAATATTTACCATACTGAGTCAAAATCTCTTAACTATTTCATCAATAGCTCTTTACCAACAATTTCTCTCTGTCTTTCTTTTTTTTCTGTTTTTGAGACAAGAGCTTACTGTGTAAATCAGGCTGGCCTCGTACCTGCTCTATAGCCTAGGCTAGCCTTGAACTCATGGCCTTCTTACTTCAGCTCCCAGGTGCTAGTATCACAAGTGAGCACCACCACACTGGCTTATTACTTTCTTCAAGTTTTTTAGGAATCTATAAACACACTGGTAATTCAGACAAACAATCCAGTAATTAAAGAATGAAAACAAATCAAAACTGATATCAGGAGCAAAATTATTTAGGGAAAACTTGCATCTAGTTGTTTGTTTTGATAAAGCAGATACAATAATTCCTCATTTACTATATTAGTTTCTCATGATTGTGACAAAATACCTAAAGGAGGATTTATTTTGGCTCATGGTGACAGAGGGTTCAGTCCATGCTCAATTGGTCCATTGCAGTGAACCTGAAATGAGACCAAATATTATGATAAGGACCAGGTAGTGAAGAAGAGCAGTTCATAGCATGGCAGCCAGGAAGCAGTAAAGAAAGATAAGAAGTTGCCAGACAAGAGATATATTTCTAGGGCAAGGGCACACTTCCTATGACCCACTTTCCCCAAGTAGGCCTTGCCTCCTAATAGCCTATTGAGCTATGGACTCATCAACACATTAATCCATGGATAAAGTTAGAACCCTCATAATCCAATCACATCTCAATGATTGAATCTACCTGTTGGGGGTAAAGCCTTAAAGACACAAGTCTTTTGTGGCCACGTCATACACAAACCATAACAAAACCATTTTTTTCCATTTTCATGCTTTTGCTTCCCTTTAAAAGACATTGACAGCTACCATTCACATTGAACATTTCTATCACTTTCTATGCAAACTACCCCAAACTATGTCCATGGTCTTCCCTAAAGTGCTTATATTCCAAACATCTGTATTTCAGATAATGACCTACTTCCAGTCTTCTCAGCTCCTCATTTTTTATTTACTCACCTATCATGTTTTATCAGGTACCATGACCTGTTGTGCTTTCTTTCCCACTATCTCTCTACCTCTTCCTATTTTTCTTTTCCATTGCCATCACATAAGAATTCAAGCTGATAAGTCTATTTAATTTCTTCTCATTGCATTCCAGTCCCTAGATGAACTACAGAGTTCAGTAAATCTTCCCACTATGAAATTACTTCCTGCTAGCAATAAAATAAACTTTAACCTCCCAAATGTCATTCAAAGCCTTCCATTATTTTTTCCAATTTTTCCTAACTCAGCTTCTCTGCCTCACCAACTTCTCATGAATAATCAAATTTTACACAATGCCAGAACATACAATGTAATCGTTTTTTCAAGACTAAGATTTAGGGGACATACCCTTAAGTTTATTTTGCAAATGTGACTCAAGTCCTTTGTAATTAGCATCAAACTAAAGGAAAAAGAAAAGTTTAAATACTAAAACTAACTATTGTAATTTTGTACTAATTCAGAGAAGTAAAGTGTTGATAAAGAAAACAGGAGGCAGCATGCTGATATACTGTCCATAGTTTATATAATAAGAAACTGAGGGCTGGGGTGTAGCTCAGTGGCAAAGCGCTTGCCTAGCAAGTGCAACGTCCTGGGTTCGATCCCCAGTACCAAAAAAAAAAAAGAAAAGACAAAAAAAAGTTAAAAAAAAAAAAGAAACTGAAGGCTTGAGAGGTTAAATTACATAATAACTTCTCCTCAGTTTGAAAATAAGGGTCCTAGTCAATTGGACTCCCAGTGATTTTTAAGCCTTACTCCATGTGACTAAGTTATGTCTCCAAACAAAATCAGTAGTAGTGATTGAAAAGAATAAATACATTCTTAAAGAATGTGGTAGATACAATTTAGGACAAATGTTTTAGAGCTTCAAACGCTAAGTATTTTGAAACAACAACTTATGAAACTACGATTTCTTCAAATTGGCCCACAACCTAATTAAGTATAAGAGAAGTTTAAGGTGTTAACTATTATAGCAGGTGTAAATATAAGCCTGATAAAAACCGAAGATACCCCCTTATTGCCCCCAGTCCTATTCCTCCTTCCCTGCAATGGGCCACAACTGGGCTTATGCTCCAAATGGAACGTTTCTGGCCTGCGGCCAGGATGTGTTCTCCTGTGCCTTGTCATCCTATCATCTTGTCAGCCTTTTGCCTGACCTTTTCAACCGTTTCTTTTAACAGGATAACAGCCCTCACCCAGGACACCACCTGGCAACAAGTCAAGGCCATCCTGTTCCTACAGGCAACTGGAGACTTCACTTTCGCTGCCTTGCCTTGCCCAGCGCAGATCTGGGCCCTAAAGACCCCAGGTCCAGTGACTCCTCGATGCCCCCAAGCCAGCAGGAAATAGCCAAAAGAACCGATGACACCTTTTGGCTCCGGTACTTTTTAACATCTCTGCTACCTCCTCCTCAGCTTCCTGTGATTCTAAACTTGGAAAAGTCTTATCCCCCCAGGAGCACCATGTGAAATGCTCTCCCTCATTACTTGACCAGCTTAAGTTTTTGCCATAACATTTGCCA